GTTCACAGAGCCAGGCTGGGCTGGGTGCAGGGATGGATGATCCACGTGGGAAGCAGCTCCAGCCCTGAGCTGACTGACCCAGCCCTCCAACGTGCAGTGAGGAGACTGCTGTGGCCTGAGAGAAAATGTCATGGAAGTCTGTACCTTGAACTCTTGCCACTCTTGTGGTTAATTAACCACATAAGGTCTCTCTTACACAGTGCTCTTCATCAGCTCATTTGTCTTGTTCTCTTCATTTGGCAGATGGAGAAGGTAAAACTCAGAGGACCATCATTACTCATCCACAGAGCCCATCTGCACAAGCCAAAATAAACCAAATTTCCCCCAAATGCCAGCCCAGTGCACTAACCACAAGGTAACACTGCCTCCATCCTGTTCTCCCTATAAAATTTGATAAAATTAGCCTTATTTCTCCTTTTGATTCTTCTTGAAGTGGTAGAGTGCTACACTCAGCTGATTCCCAAATGATTCCCCAACCCACCTCAAAGCTTTGTGCCTCTTGCTCTGTGAAAGAGCACAACACCTGGGGTAAATAAGTAGCACAGCACTGGCAGAGCCACAGTGGCTGGGTTGGATGCTCCTGTGCCAGGAATGGGATGGGCAACTGGGGCTGTCGTGGTTTGTGCCAGTGGCAAGAGCATCCTTGAGGAAGAAGGTCTGTCCTGGCCATGACAATGCTCTAAATCCCTCCTTGCTCACACCAGACACAACCAGAGCATGAGTTTCTCAGTGGGATGATGCTGGGCTGGAGGAGAATCCCAATATCCCTTCTCATGCTCCTCGCAGCAGCTGAGGATGTTTCTCCAAGCCCGGCAGGCTCTACCCACCTGGAATTGCACAGGAGAGCCAGGACATGATGCAATAGCAGCTCAGGTTTCTCACCACAATCCCTCCTCAGCAAGTGGAGAAAAGGAACAACGACAAAAAGATGCCCTTAAGGGTATTTGTTTCCCAAAGGAATGCACTTAAGGGCTCTGGGAAGCTCAGGATGTTATTAAAGGATGGGGGGGGAGCACTTGTCAGCCCTAAGTGAATTTGATAAAAAAGATGTTTTATGCAACAGGCTGTATTTAAATCTAAGGGACAATTTAAGCTGCTTTGTGAGTAATAGCATCTCTTTGATTGAGAAGCCGTGTTTTAAATATGGAATTAGTGAAAGTGAGCGTGTTGGTGACCCTGTTTCCAGGGAAGGCACTGTTATGCATGTTGCAGTGAGCAATGGGACTTGAGGCACAGTGGAGAGGCTTTAACCCTTCAGTGGTTTTTCTCAGATTAAGGACAAGCTCCTCGGCTCTTTTCCATCACGTCAGAGGTCTGGGTTTGGTCCCTGACCCCAGCGTGGTGAATGTGCTCAGTCGGGAGCACCAGACTGGAAAGGAGAAGCGCAAATGCAGGTTTAAAAGGGCTGACAGCAGAGAAACATCCACGTCAGCCTGGATCCCAAAGCTCTCCTGGTTAATTGCCTTCTGCCTGTGCACCATCAGCCTGTGTTTGAGACAACCATCACAGTCGTTCCCGTTCCAGCTCCGAGCTGTCATCCAGCCTTACAGCTCCCTGCACACTCCACCCCGGATCTTGGCTCCTTTTCAGGGCTCCCTTGATGCGGTTTGGCATCTCTCTGGGTGAGAAGTGCTGCTGCTGCCACCTTCCCCTGTCAATATCCCTTTCTTGCAGTGCCCTTCTGCCTTGGCACTCAATGCCATCAACTCAGTAATTAGTATCATGTTATAATTGAATTGTCAAAAGGAGCTTGGATCAGAGCTGAGCGCGTCGTCGGGGTTATTGCTGCCTCCTTTGGTCTTTCCTCATCTTTTTAATGTCTTTTCTTCATCACTTCATCATTTATTAGTCATGATCACATGTAAGGATTAGATGGGAGTGTTTTGGGGCAGGCTCTGTGCCTCCTGCAGCACACCTGCAGCACTGCAGGCAGCTACAAACCTAATCAAGGGCTGCTGCCTGGTCCCTTTCCCATCTCTTACAGCCTTCCTCTTCCTTCAATTTTATTGTGTTCAATTCCTAAAGCGACTGAGGGGGATGTTTCCAGAGGAGCATCAAGTGGCAGCAGATGTGCAGGGGTTTGTCCTGCCCAGCCAGGTAGAACCAGCTGCTACAAACACAGCTGGGAAGTGCTGGGAAGCACCTGAAGTGCTGCTAAAAAGGGCTTGAACAAGCACTTGCTCCCTGCTGGTGCCTCTTCTGGGAGCTGTCCCCGTGCTGTGCCCAGTCCTGCTCACCCTGGGCTGTGCTGCATGTCCTGGTCCTGCTTTCAGCTCTGCCCCTCAGGGGAGGAATGGGTGGTGAACACCTCTACACCTCTGCCAGGAGAACTCTTGGCTCCTCCAGGCAGCACAGAAGTGCTTCCGAGCTGCTGATGGAGCAGGGGGAGAGCTCAGAGCCCGCCACAGCCCCTCGCTGCAGTCACACACAGAACAACTTCTCTGCCACTGCAGCTCCCTTACAGCCATGAATTTTGGGTTTCCCTTTGGCAGCAGCATCAGAGGATTTGCAGATGAAAAACTGCACGGCCCAGGAGCGGGGCTGGAGTGGGAAGAAACCCCCAACCGTGGATTTGCCACTGAACTCTCCTGGTCCCGCTGCCACTTCCCACAAGATTAATGCAGAGAGCACGAAGAAAATGCCTTGGCAGGAATAAACATGTTTCCCATCCAGCTGGGAACCCCAGCAGCCTCTGTTGATGCTCCTGCTTGTAGCCAAGCCACGAGCTTTCAAAGCCCCACGGGGACCCATCACACAATTGCATTCCCAAATAAAGGCAGTTCTTACACAGCAGTTTTCAGGGCTGAGAGAGGAAGCAAAGCCACTTGTTGTCTCCTTTGCAGGTGTTTTGACCTCTTTTTCCTGAGACTGTTTTGCAGCAATACTTTCATTCTCCTCTCCCTTTGTCTCCACTCTGGGATTCTCCAAAATTCCCCAGGGAGACGGTGCTGCTGTTCAGCAGCAGGACTGCAGGGTGGGGAGGAGAAGAAGAAGCTGCATCAGGACCCACAAGCTGGAGAGATTCAGGCACTTGGCTGCAAAGATGGCTCAGGGAGGGCTGCTTTGCACCTCAGCAAAGTTTTCCACCAAAGCTGGGCTCTCCTGAAGGGATTAGCCTGACTTCCATGAGGATTTACCCACTGACTGAGGGCGGGTCTGGGGAAATCAGCCGGGAAGGCAGAAACGCCCCAGGGCAAGAGCAAGTGATGTGATCCAGGAGGTCTGTGCTGGTGCCTGGCAGGCCAGGACAAGTCCCTTCAGTGCTCCTGTCTGCACAGGCAGCTGCTCAGTGCTCCAGGGAAGCCATGAGGAAGGGGATACAGTCACTCCCAAAGCGGGAGGAGAGGCTGGAGAAGCACAGCTCCAAGAGACTGCTCGTAGGCTGGCCCTCAGCAGAGACCCCAGGGCTGTCATACAGGGGGGTCTGCACAGCCCCTTCCCTGATTGCTGAGGACATGAAGTTCCTCTTGCAGCTGGAGATTCACCCCTGTGAATCACAGAACCGTGGAGTGGTTTGGGTTGGGTTGGGAGGGACCTTAAATCCCATCCTGTTCCATCCAATGCCGTGGGCAGGGACACCTTCCACTAGCCCAGGTTGCTCCAAGCCACATCCAGCCTGGTTTTGAACACTTCCAGGGATGGCAAACCTGTGCCAGGTCCTCCCCACCCTTATAGTAAAGAATATGTGAGGCAGCTCTTCATCTGGTCCCACTTTCAAGCACAAGAGGTAATTTGCTGGTCTGTGGATCCTGCACCACCCACCCACACTCAGCTGTCCAAGCCCCTGCAACCCTCTCAGCTGCTGGATTTCTTGCCTCATTAAAATTAAACCACCCAGACCTTCCTGTTCTTGGATTCACCGAGTCACCTGTCCCTGCACTGCCATTCACCCAGCAAGGATTTGCTCAGGAGCTTGATGGCAGGAAGAGTGAGCTGCTAAATGTCTGGAGGGCAAGAGAGTGCTGAGAATAATCAATATTTGATGATCCCTTCCCAGGCAGGCCGGGGAGGGGAGCGGTTACAGCCCGGAGGGAGATGCACAGCCTGACCTGCACCCCCTGGCAAAGGGAAATGCCACCTCTGGAAACAACCAAACGCTGTGGGATGTTGGCAAAAGGGAGTCAGGCACTCCTGTCACCTGCTGAGCAGCTCAGGCTTCCTTCAGAACGCTGATTGAAGAGTAAAGATGTTCTCCCCTGGGACAGCGGGACTTGCTTTGATTTCCATGCAGCAGCAGCAAAAGGAGCTCCCTCCTCCTGGATGGAAAACCCACCCAGACCCCCATCCCCAGGGTCAGCAGGGGAATCTCCCAGTGTGGCTGCACGATTTTGGGGGTTTCTCCACTGTCTGGGGGTCACACAGGGTGTGACTTGTGCTCAGCACCTTGGCCACTGCAGCTGTGGGGTGAACGCTCCTGTCCTGCTCCAGCTGAGGGACTGGTTCCCAGCAGCACCTCAGGTAGTCAAATATTTTGGGGCTGAAGGGTGGCCAGTGACCACCTGCAACCCAGAGCTGGTGGGCAGAGCCAGGGCACAGCTCCACACCAGTTCTCTCCTCTCCAGCTGGAGCCTCTTGGCTGCACACACAGCCGAGGACCTGCCACCAGCCCCCAGCCAAGTGCATTCCCTGCACATCCCACCACATCCCAACTTCCACGTGATTAATCGAAACCTCTCGTTGCCATGGGACTGACATCTCCTTCCCTCTCCCTTGGCTCTCACCTTGTGTTTGTTTGTTTTCCAGGTATCTACTCCTTGTTCTTTTATTTTCCTGCTCGGCAAAGCTGGAACCGGGGAGGGAGGGTGGGAAGGGGGAGCTGGAGCTTGTAAGAGGAAATAATGGACTTTTGTAAACACGCAGGCAGCTTTTGCATATGGTACAGCAAAAATAATCTGCTTTTGGTGGATCAGGAACACGCAATCGGGCTGAAGCTGCCGGAGGGGCTTCCCAGAAGAGAGGCAGCAGAAGGGAACTGGGGTTTTTTTGGGTGGGGGGACAGGGCCAGAGGGTGCACATTCGTCCATCTCTGTTCTCTCGTGCTCTGCTGCATCCCTGAACATCCCAGTCGGGCAGCCTGAGCCAGCATTTGGCACGAGCCAGTCCCAGCTCAACCCCCAGGTCTGTTGTTGGGGTTGGTCACGCACTTGTCGTGTGAGATTATTATTGTCTGTCCTGGAAACAGCACCAGGAATAGCAGCAGGGCTTAACACAGGCAGCCACTGCCCCAAACTGCTCCCCACGTGGGAGATCCCCCCTTCCCCACAGGAAGGGACATCCCATGGAGAGGCAGTCCCTGGATAACTGGGCCTGGGGTCTCCAGGACCTGTCCCAGGGTGGCAAATCCCCCAGGGCTGCAGGGACCAGGCTCAGCCCCGGGATGGGACTCACAGGGTGGCTGCTGCCTTAGTGTGGTGGCAGAGCTAAAAGCAGCAGAGGGAACCAGTCTGGCTTCCTCTGGGGTTAGTAAAGCTCCTGTTGATCCCAGTGCTGAAGGAAAAGGCCTGGAGTATCCAGCTGGATCATTGTGATGGCAGAGGCAGAGCAGGGACCTCTCCCTGTGCCAAAGATGCTCGTGAGAAACTCAATCCCTGCCTCGGGGAGATGGTTATTGTAACATCTCTCTTTGCCCGAGGACAGTTCTCTTCCTCCTTTTAAGTTATTAACATGGAATTATCAATGCCCATAATCTGGTTTGTTGTTAGCTCCTAGCAGGGCTCACAGCACATGGATTTCCAAAGGATTCAGTACAAACAGGAGCAGATTGATGCCCAGGACTGAGGCAGAGGATGAATCAGCACTATCTGAGGCACAGATTTAAGGATGATGGGGGTACCAGCAGCACTTGGAGGAGCAGTTCAGGGGCATGGGTGGATGTGTAGCTCTGACACACAGTCAGGAGACCAGCAGCTGCAGGAAAAGGAGGATGGATTCAGGACACACCTGGCCTGGAACAACCTGAAACCCAGTGTGCAGCCAGACCAGTGAATAAAAGGTCACGGGAGGAGGCTGGGATTGCCACTCTGAATTCCTGAACAGCAGAAGCCACAGGACTTAATTCTCCCTTTCAGCAAGACACCCAGGCTCAGCTTAAATATTTCCACTGCTGGGGGATCCAACCCAGTTCTTGATAAATTGCTCCAATGGCCAATTACCCTCATTCCTGAAAACCTCAGTCTATTCTGAGTTGAATTTATCCAGCTTCATCTTTCAGGAACTGGATGTGATCTTTGTCTCCCAGGTTGCAGAGCCTCTTTTGGTCAAGCTGCTGCTCCTGTGACGCTGTGCTTTGGGTGTGGAGTGGGTGGATTTGTTGTTGGGGAAGTCCATGGAGCTGCCTCCCATCACTGGCTCTGCTTGAGGGTGAGAGAAGAGAGGATGAGGCTCCTCATCACCCCTGAGTGCTGCACCCTCACACAGCCACCTCAAACTGCTTCAAAACGAGAACATTATTTTGCTTTGCAATAGTGGGAGAAAAAAAAAAAAAAGAGAAGCCACCAAAGGCCAAGACTTCCAGAACAGGATTCAGTGAGTAATTTTTAGAGTGGTCAGTGCCTGCCCTACCCTCTGTGGTCAGCTGAGACCTGAGCACTCAGCCCTGGGAGGGCTCCTCAGCCACGTGAGCAGATTCCAGGATTACTATTTAAAAGCTCAAAACCCCGGAGTCAGCTCCTCCCCCGAGTCTAAAGATTAAAAAAAAAAAAAAAAGTCAAATTTCTCTGCTTGCTGTCTGGGTTTTTGAACTTCTGCTCTTCATATTTTCAACCACAAAAATCCAGAAACCTCATGTTTTAATGGAAAGGGAGACTTGTAATCTGATAACATAACCCCAGGGGCTGTGTGTAAAAACTCCAGGGCTTGTATGAACAGGCCATTCCAAGAGCTTAAAGCACATCCAGAGCAAAACCAGGAATAAAATGTGACCCCTGTTCTCTGGATGTGCTCAACATGAAATGTTTACTTCCTATTTTAGCTTGCTGGCATCCTTCACTTGCCACAGCCCTGCCTGCCTCTGCTTCATGGGAAGGATGCTGTGTTGGGAAAGAAATCCCCAAGGAAGTTCTTTGCCTGGATGGTTGGTTGAACCTCCCCAGCATGGCAGAGATGCCCCAGCTACAAGGAACCATCTCAGCACACAAAGGAAACAACAATCTGGGCTGGAGGGTAAGGAGATTATAAGGATTAAACACGATGGAGAGAGATGTTTACAATTATTATTAGCTTCAAAATCTGCCCAACCAGAACAGCAGGGCCCTGCCCATCTGTTGTTTTACGTCTGCACGGCCCCGATGGTTTTGCTCCTGCCTGCACCTTAAATTTGATATTCTGGTACAACCTGAATGTAAAGCAACACCAGCCACAGCAAAATCTGACCCCGGTGATGCGGCGCTGGAGGGTTTGGAGCTGCCTGGGTGGAAACAGCTGAGTGAGAAGGGCCCTGCAAAACAAACAAACAAAAAAAAAGCTTACAAAGAGAGAAACAGCATCACAAATGCAGTAATGTAACAGGAGAGAGGAGACAGCACTGCTGGGCAGGGACAACAGGCAAAACAGAGGGTTTTCTCAAGGAAAAAACTGAAAAATGGTTAGAATTAAGAACACATTAAATTGAGCTGAGTGGTGATATTACACAGGGAGGTCATGGCTTTTCACACAGGTCGAATTAACTCCCTTGGCATCTGTGTTATAAATTCCCTCATCCACATCTGCTCTCTTCTGACAGGGAAATGTTGCTCAGGGCTGCCACAGCAGCCAAGGATGTGAGAGGAGAGGGATGGAGAATCTGCCAGGAGCTTCCTTTAGGGGATGGGAAGAGGATGAAACCTTTTTCAAAGGAAACACATGAAAATCAAGAGATGGATTTTGCAGGCTCTTTCCAAAAAAAATTCTCACCTCAGCAGTGGGACTGTTTTTAAGGGGAAAAATTGCCTCTGAAAGGGAAGGATGCTGGGCCCAGTGCAGTCTCAGAGGGTTGTTTGGATGGGGGGGGTATGAGCAGGGGGTGTTACGTGTCTAAACCACTCCTGCAACACAAATTCACTGTTTTTCATCTCACAATATTCAACTCTTTCAAAACACATTGACACTTTGGGGGATTAGAGCACGAGCAGCCCAAAATCCCAGCAGTCCAGGATGTCCCTGCAAATGTCCTCCACCCTTTGGGTTGAACAGGGGGAGAAATTTCAGCTGGAAAGGAGGAGGGGGGAATGTCAGTGCAGAGATGAGTTTTTTGGATGCTTCTTCTTTTTTTTTTTTTTTCCAAGCAGAACATTTCAAAAGAGTTGTCTCGAACCAGAACGTTTTGTTTTGTTTTGCTCCTGGTGAATAATTTAAAAGGTTTAAAAAGCTGAAACAGCCCTGAGAAAAGACCGTTCTGAAATGACTGTTGTCTTTTTCTCTCTCCCAGAAGTCACTGAAACCCTGAGTGAACCTTGAGTGCATGGGGAAATGGGTCTGATGCTTTGGCTCAGCCTGACCTGGAAACCTGCTCCTGGTGTGTCACAACCACAGCCTTGACAGGTGGAAGCAAAATGAGCAGTTCAAGTGACAAGAGCAAGATCACCTTGCAGGTAAGGGGCAGAGATGGAAATATATCCCTGTCTTCTGTCCTGTCTCTCTGCTGAGCCCTTTCTCTCTTTAATCACACCATCACAAAGGTTGTCTCCGTGGCAAGGCCAAAATCAGCCTCGCTGCTGATTGCAGGGAGATGTCACCAGCTCCCAGGACCAGGAGATGCTTTCAGCAGCTGTAAATCAGCACAGCATCACTCTCCCTTCCCCAGAACTCTGCTGATTTATGTTGGCCTCGCAGAGGTCCCTGGTAGACATGTGCTGGTGGATTAAAATCAGCCTGTCGGGTGTCCCTGTCCTGCTGATGGATGTGACACCCCGAGGCAGGGACGTGTCATCTGCAGCAGCTCAGGAGCTGCAGCACAAGGTGCTGTGGTGGGTTTGGTGAGGGGCAGTGCTGGCACAGGGGCACGTTTGGGGGCCGTGGCAGCTCCAGGTGCCCAATTTTAACCTGTCACCACGTGCTGGTGAGAACTCAAGTCACGCTGGGCAGCCTTTAACCCCTCAAAACTCTGGTGGGCTGAAGAAACGAGCACCTGGTGCTGGGAGACCATCCCGGGATGCTCTTCCCGGTGCAGGCGGGAGCGCTGGGAGCCCTGGGCTTTTCCTCTGACAGAGTTGAACTGGAATCCCAGCACACAGAAGCCATGGGTCCATCAGGGAATGAGAAGGAAACCCCCTCCCAGGGGGAGAAGGCAGTGTGGTTTGGATTTGATCAGTGTGGTTTGGATTTGATCGTGGGCACAAACACCCCGTGACTGATGGATCTGTTTTCCAGGAATGTGTCCCATGCACCGTCCCTTCTTCCCTCTTCCTCTGCAGACCCTGATCCACTTGTCTGTGAAGAGATCAGGGTGTTGGATCAGGGCCTTGAGAACAGCAGTTTTAGGGCTGACAGCAGCAAATGCGTGCAAGATTCTGGGAACAGGATCTCAGATTTAACTGAATTGAATTCCAGAGTGGAAGCAAGTGACCTTTCCTGCTCAGGGCACAGAGAGGTGCTGTGAGTGACACAGAAGCCGAGGAAGGTTTAGGAAGGAGCATTTATTGAAGCTGCAAGGGGCAGCCTGATACTGCAAAGGATGTTTATTTTCCCAGATCAAGTTGAAAACTCACAGCAGCTTCCTGCAGTTTATGGAATTAAATTCTTGGACCAGGCTCAGAAACACCAGACTGAGAAGAAACATTTAGCAAAGGTCAGTCACAACTATTTACAAGGGGTGTACACGTGACACAGTAAAACTTGCACTGAAATAAACCCCCCAGCCCCTCTCCCAGAAGGTCCCATTTGGATGCTGAACTGCTTTGAAATTGTTCTGCCGAAAACTTTCTCGACACCAATGTGCTCCAAAAAGTTTCCATTACGCTGAAACTGCATTTCCCATTGGAAACCTCTTTGGTTCAAGCATTTCCTTGTCTCTGCTGATGCTTCCTGGGTTCGTGCCCTGCCCCAGGATTGTTCTCTCTGTGACCAGCATGTGACAAGGCTTAAATAAGTAATGATTTGTGATGTGCCTTGATACCCTCTGATAAAAGCTGCCCAGAGCACTGTGCGTTACAGTGCCGTGATTTCTCTACCTATTTCTTCAGAATGCATTAAATGTGTGGGTGCTCCAGTTATTATTTCCTCTAACAGTTGATATTTTAACCTGCTGTATTTTTATCTTGGCTGCATTATATAACAAGTTATGCTGGTGTCAATCTGGAAGCTCCAGCACAGTCAGTAAAGCTAATCCAGTTTAACACAAGCCTTAGAGGAGGGTTGAATTCCTTGTGATAAAAAGCAGAATTAACCCAAATAAATTACTAAACCCCTCAAAGAGTACCCTTCAGTTTTCCAATTAATCGGAAAATTAATTCCAATCAAGGCAAGTTAACTTTCACTCTCAGCTACATCCTTGGTGTGTGCCAGGAGAGTTTGTACCCTGTGGTTTAGCCTCCTAAAAGCTTTGGAGCTGGTGAAGCCACTGGAGAAGTCACATGAGGAATAACTCTTCCTCTCCATCTTTTTGGAGAATAATAAACTCCCCAGGAAACACAACACTTCCTGGGGCACTAAACTATTCATGAATTAGCTGCTCATTTGGCAAATCACTGAGGCCAAACTAAGTGTGAGGAACAGAAGGGGTGAGGAGGTGGTGGGAGACTCCTGGGGTGCCCCTCCCTGCTTTGGGCAAGAAGCAAAATGTGATGTGCAGAGTCCACAGGAGAAGGCAGAGACCCCTCTGAGGAGTGTTACTCCCATCCAAGGTTTGGCTCACCCTCTGGAGATGACACTTTCTCCTTCACTGCAGAGGGGGGTGTGGATAATTAGCTCCAACCAGACCTCCAACTCCCAGGCAGCAAAATAACGAGCCAAATCCTCGTGCGGCGCCACAGCCACTGCAGCCTCTCGGTGTTTTTGAGCCAAAGCCTCTGAGTGCCTGATGCCAGCTCTGATCTGTGCAGCAGCTCAACACCTGAGAGGTCAGAGGGGCTGCAGCTGGGGGGGGTGCTGGGCAGCCCCTCCTGCCCCATGTGCTGGTGGCCCCTACGTGTGACTGGGGCTTATCCCAAACGCCGACACATCCTGCTGTGCCCAGCCGGGCTGGGGTGGGCACCAGAGCCCTTTGTCCATCCCCAGTTGCCCTCACTGGGGCTGTGCTCAATCCCTTGGCACTTCAGCTGCCATCTGCCACATTCTGGGGGAGCTCCCACGGGCAGGTGTCCCCTGGGAGGGTGGGTGTGCAGTGTGGGAGCCTGGAGATGCGCCCGCCTGGATGGGAAGGGACCGCTCCAGCCTCTCCTGAGACTGCTCCCAGCCACCCGTGAGGTGGAGCTGGAAGGGATTCCCAGGATATCTGCTCCCCCAGCCACTGCCTGCTGGGTCAGGATTGCTGCCCAGCATCCCAGCTCAGCCCAGGGAGCAGGGAGCAGCGTGCTGGGTGTGCAGACGTGTGTTTGCAGAGGGAGGGAAAGCGACTCTGCAGGGAAACAAACCACAAACACACACTGGGAACAAGCACAGCTTCTAATTTCCCTGGATGGCAGCAATGCTGATGTGGATTTTCCATCCCTCATCCCTCCCGTCACACTCAGCCCCTCAGTTGTGTTTCCTCTGGTCACAAGAGCCTTTCTTCCCTCGGAGGAAGGGGCTGTGGCTCAGTGACAGGGTGTACAAGGCACCTCCTGCCTCCACCAGCAGCAGAGCAGGGAGGGAGGTTGTTTTTCTCGTGAGCTCCTGCCTCATTTACAATTTGCTGCCAGGGCAAAACACCACAGCTCCTTTGGCATCAGATTTTTGAAGACTGGTGCTGGCCATAGAAAGCAGCTGTGCTGTGGGATTTCCTCTGCAGGACGTTGTTCAGACCAAAAAGTGTGTAGATCTCCAAAAAAAAAAGAGTGAGATTTACTTCTTGGTACCCAAGAGTCTGCAGATCCAGGCTAATTAATATAAGAAATTTTAAGAGACATTAAATCTTATGCTTTCAAGTTTAAGCCAGGCTTTAATTGCTAAGGATTAGGAGATGATCTGCCCCATTATCTGTAGAGTCTGGCACTGAGCATCCCTGGGAGCAGGACGATGCTGTGCTGGCCACCCCAGCTCCAGTTTCCCTGCAGCTGATGGGACACACTGACCAGGCTGACAGGCTTTGATTGTAATTAAGTTGCTCCTGCTCGTTGCCCTGGGCCTGTTTTCCATCAGCTCAGCCTGCACAGCCAGGCTGTGTCCGTGATCCAGGCAAAAGCAGCTGGGCTGTGGGGTGGGAGAGAAACACGAGTGTGGTACAAGAGAGGTCACAAAAAATAGAAAATTCAGGCCGTGGTGTTTCGGGGGAGCAGGGGAGGATCATTTTAGCACCAGGGATGGTAATCAGTGTGATCATTTGGCATCACTGGGGTGGGCCCACCTGCTGCCCCTCTGTGTGGGGGGGGCTGTACAGGGGGGGGCAGCTGGGGCTTTGCTCTTGGGGTTTGTATGGAGCAGGGAGAGGATCCAGATCCGCAGGAACAGGGATCTGGGAAGGAGTGACTGAATATCTGAGAGAGGAGACTCCTGGTTCAGGCCTGGATACAGCTCCAGCCTTCCCAAGGATGCTCAAACCCCTTCCTATTATGTGGGAAAAATTGAGGACAGAAGCACAGCCCCACACTGGGGTTCACAGCACCCACTTGGCTGCTGGTAAAATGAGTGTTTTGTGTCAAACTTGGTTTCCCCCCTCCAGCCTGGTGCTGCTTTATGACCAGCACCAATCCTGGGCATCCTGGCATCAGGGTGATGCTGGAGCTGGTCCCATCTCCAGAGAGCCCCTTGCTGTGTGACACCACAACCACTGTGACCGGGCAGGGAACACACACCCTGCAACCAACAGCAGCTCCTGGCCCAGTCCTGGTACAGTCAGATACTTATTTCTGCAATATTTGATGTTATCATATTTATAATGCCCTTTCTCCATAGATCCCAAAGCATGTTAATTGACTCATTAACAAATTGTTAACGACTGTGGTAATTGAAGTCCTAAGCACGCATATAAATTAGATTTACTGACAGGGGCTGAGGTCTGGGTTGGTTACAGCTCAGCCTCGTGGTAGTGGGGTGAGCTGAGGTGATTCCTGAGCTGGGGGGAGCAGCTCAGGATCTTCTGAGACTCTGCAGGGCCGTGGGAGGACTCTGATCCTGGAGACAGGGAATGTCCTGCTCCTCAGCTACTCACTTAATCAGGGCAACTCACCACGTTACGGCCAACAAATGTCAATGAGAGCACATTTGTAGTTGCTGGTGTTATTTTCTCCTTAATGAAATGTCAAAGGAAGGGAAAACAGCGGAAAATGTCAGCAATTGGTCTTTTTCTCACACAGGCAGTTAGACACGGGCCTTCTCAGCAGAGATGCCAATTTATTAGGAGGCAAACGCGGCTGGGTTTGACAGAGTGGAAGGAGCTCAGATTTCCATTAGTGATCACCTTTTAACCACCCCCAGAGATGTTAATTTGCTATAAATGCACTTTGCTGTAAACATGGAGAGACAGTGAACGAGTAAAGCCTCGGGAACGTGGGTGTCCGTGGCTGGGGGACAGCACAACTCTGCTGACTTCAACAATTAAAGCAGGGAGCAAACGAGCACCCACCCTCACAGCAAAGCTTGTCACTGGACTTTCCTCCAGGGCTGCATGTTCGTGGTAAAGATGGCTCCAAAAAAAAAAAACCCTGTCATCTGGGAAAACACATCAGCATTACGAAAAAACTCAGAAGTTTCCCTGAAAAGCTGCATTTATTTAATTGTGACCTGCGGATGCAAGTGCCACGGTGGGGAGGAAGGGTGAGGGAGAGTGGCGAGGATTTGTTCGTGTTTCCTGGACTAAGGAGATGATGCTGGATGTTGGGAGCAGCAGAGAGGTGCAGCCCCACTGCTGCAAAACTGGAGCTGCAAACTCGTGTGTGTTCCGGTGACGCTGCAGAGCCGAAAATAACCTTGAGAGAGGAGCCCGTGCGGAGCCGGGGGCTCGGGAGGAGCGAGGACAATTACCGGGAGATGGATGGGTGGTGATGGGCCGGGCAGGGAGGGGTGAGGAGGTCAGGCATGTGCTGCTCACCACAAGAGGGAGAAAACAAGGAGATTTCCCAAAAAAATCGCTGCTCTGCCACGCTCAGCACTCAGAAAGTAATAAATAGGTTTGACTCTTCTTGTCTGGCCCCCAGGACCCACCTGCCCCTGGGCTTCTCCTGCAGGAGGAAAGCCTGGTATCCCACCCAGGGAGGTGGGTGTGGAGCGTCGATTTTGAGCTCTCCCCTCCTCGGGGAAGTGACACTTGTAGTTTTTTACCACGACAAGGATATTTTAAACTCAAATGATGACTTTCAGGGAGGCTGGCTTGGATGGCACAGCCACGACGGAGACCTTGAATTGATGACTCCTCTCTCCCAGGCTGCTGTCCCGGCCCTTCACTCTCCAAACTGAGTGGTGACGCTTGAAGAAATACATTCTGCTGTTCTGCCGAGGTAACACCCACCTGGGACAGTGCAGGCAGCCAAGGAAGGGGCAAACATCCACATCAGTGCTGGGATTCAGTGGGAAAGCTCAGCTGGGAAAGGCAGCACTGCCCTGGGTCTGACACCCCTTGCAATAACAACCAGAGGGATCAGGGGGACACCCCGTGAGCCCTGAGAGGAGCAGCTGTGGCAGGGGAGGATGTGGCAGCAGGAACGCTGTGGATCTTTCCCCGTGGGGATCGTGGCCTGTGAGTGCCCTGTGGAATTGCTGCAGAGGAACCAGTGGGAAGGAGCAGCAGAGCTGTGCCAGTGCAGGAGTGACTGAGCACGGTGTGATATATTTAGCTGGTGGTGATGAAAAATACAGAAATAGGGATGTGAATCCCAGCTGTGTCCGATACCTGCTGGTGGCTTCCTCAGGCTGATTTATCAATAATTAATGGCAAAGGTGTCTGCCCTAACTTATCAGGTATTGGGAAGCAGGAAGCCCTCCAGTGCAATGCAGACTGCTGGATGGGAGCAGAGCTTATCCATGATTTAGGGAAACACTAGAGCTTGGCTTAAAACCCTTCTGGATCTTTGTATGTGTTTCCAGTAAGCACAGATATTTACAGTGAGTTCCTGCACAGAGCTGGATCTGTGTCTGTGCTTCAATTTACTCCTAACACAGCGTTTTTTTCAGGTTTTTGGTGTTTGTGTGCTGCTGCCCTCAGAGAGCCTCTGACGTGGTCAGCCCTCGGGGGAAGTTTCTCCTTTCAAGTTTTGGTCACCGTCCCCAGCTCACC